ACTTCACAAAAGTATAAGAATTCTTCATGTATTTCATGTTTATTGATATTTTACGAATAATGTAAAGCAAATGATGAGTTATAAAAACCTTAAAAATTACCTTTTTATCCTTTGATCTATGTAACTCACCAAATATTGACTTCAGGACAAAAAATTTGAGAAATAGTAACTTAGATTGAACTAAATTTTCATTTTCAGTGGGAGCATTTGGAGCCACCCTAATGAGCATGCTTTGATTCTGCATCAATTGTTGAAACATATTTTGTATGTTTGCCATGAAACTGTTCATGGCATAGAAAAATAATTAGAACTGTTACTGAGAGTAAGAACCCTGCCAGCAACTCAACTAACTTTAAATGCACGTTTTCATCAACTAGTTATAGTTGATTCTTGGATTATTTTTAATGTAGCCAACTGACTATTCTAACATGGCGATGTCCTACGCAGTAGTCAATTGTCCGACTCTGCATGACTTTTCAACTAGCTTAAAGTTAGTTACTAACAGGGGAACTAATAATAACACTGGTATCCATAAAATTATGAATGATTTGTTCATTATTTCCATGATTCCCATTGATCCAAATCTAAAATAAATTTTTAAACGTTCTGTGTAATGTTAACTGTTAATGTATTATATTTACAGTATTAATCAGCAGAATTTAGGGACCGAGTTTTGAAATATTTAACCTTTTATGATTAATTTTTCCAATTTACTGACTCTAATTTCACAACGTATACAAGAAAATGACAAAAATGTAAAACAAAATTCCAAATAATAAAGAAACATGAGAAAACATGTCGAAACAAAATGCTCTCCAGATAATTTTGGGGTACTCCCGCATTATATGATAGTTAGCTTGTAGCTAGTCTTTAAAAGTCGGTTGTTTACTTTAATAAATACCAAATTTTGGAACATTTCTGCATTACATTGCTGTTCGTTTATAGTCAGTCTACTAAAGTTAACAAATAAAATCATAGTAATAGAGAAAGAAGAGAAAACATGTTGAAATACAATTAATTCTCTCCAGATAATTTTGAGGCACTTCTGCATTACATTATAGTTAGCTTGTAGTTAGTATTTAAAAGTCGGTTCTTTACGTTGCCAAATACAAAATTTTGGGACATCTCTGCATTACATTGTAGTTAGCTTATAGTCAGTCTGTAAAAGTAAACCAGAAGTGAATTTTTCTCGTAGTCGACTACAAAATTGCTGGCAGGGAAATATCAGTCTCTCTCATATACAGGTTCTGTATGAATTTAATACACTTGTATGAGTATTTTTATTTTTGTTTACATCGTTTTGCTAACCCAGTTGGGCTTGTCTTTAAGACATCCTCAACGATGGGTACACGACAATGTAAAGTCCTGGAAGACAAATGTAGGACAGCCGGAACAAATCGTCAACGACATTTTCGAACAAGTGTCGCGAAAATCGTGGACGACTAGATGAGAGACAATGTCGCTCAGTTTGCCCTTCACCCAAAAATATAGATTAATTCCACCATTTTATCATCAACGACTATATAAGCCACAATATCATCCACTTTGTCGTGAACGATTATATGGGCGACAAGATCATCCACTTTGTCGTCAACGATTATATGGGCTTTGTCGTTAACGACTAAATAAGCGACAATATCGTCCACTTTGTCGTCAACGATTATATGGGCGAAAATGTCCTCAGCTTTGTAATTAACGACTATATTGATGATAGTATCATTCACTTTGGCGTCAGTGACGATGTCCTAAGCTTTGTCGTTCACTTTATTTTTTAAAAGAAAATGTTTTTAGTTGAATAAAAATATTTTAAAATATCACATTTAATTCAAAAACAATATTTATTTCATTTGAATACATTTTTAAAAACATATTAATTGTTATAAAAAGGGTTATTGAGAATTATTTGAATTTGAATTTTCTTTATTGTATTGTCTAGCTTTTTCCTTATTGTAAGTATTCTTGATTCTACGAAAGATACCTCTTAAATCTTTTATAAATTCCTCAGGTATATCCCTCTTTTTTTGCGGATTCTGTTTAAAAAATATGAATTTTAAAAAGTTATAGATATGTTTTTTTATTGCAAAGTAATATGTCTTAAAAATACTCACCATATAAAGCTTTGAGTACATTTCCGTATTTATTATTAAATTCAATATATTTTGATAACACTTTTAATTTCACTTTTAAACACTTTAAAACACTCTTACTTATGCAACTGGTAAATTCGGTAACCTCATATCTCCTAAACTATAAAAGATACAAAAACAGTTTAAAGCTTATCGTCATTCATTTAAAAAATAAGCGGACAGGTGTCTGGTACTTTTTTCAAATTCGGCCCCTTTGGGGAATAAACGGGTAGAAACTGTAATTTGGTACTTCTTTTGCACCCCATGTATCTTTTAAACCAGAGAACATTCAAAAAATATTTTTGAATCCTTCATAACTTGACGAACAAATAAAAATATGAATTTAGTACTTTTTGGATATTCGGACGTTTGAATTGAACCTATTTTTGGTACTTTTTTATAAAACATTGTTTTTGGTTTATTAACTTATACATATGAATACATAATAACGGGCTCCCAATACGATGTTGCAACTGGTACTTTTTTGACTTAGAATTTAGAAACATGTAATTAAGCACTTGAGAATCTATAAAAGTGGACTTTTTGGTACTTTTTAGTTCTTCAAAAGGTACTTTTTGAGTTTTCTATTAAATTGAACATAGAAACATGAAATTATGCACGTAGAACCTGGAGTAGATGAGAATCTATAAAATGGCACTTTTTGGTACTTTTTCGTTCTTTGACTGGTACTTTTTGAGCTTGCTACAAAATTTGAACCTCGAAACATGAAATTACGCACTTAGAGCCTGGAGTAAATGAGAATCTATAAAATGGGAACTTTATCGTACTTCGACTGGTACTTTTTGAGTTTTCCATAAAATTAAACCTAGAAACATAAAAATAAATATGTAGAGCCCGGAGTAAATTATAATCTATAAAGAGGGACTTTTTAGTACTTTTTCGTTCTTCGACTGGTACTTTTTGATATTTTTATAATATTGAACCTAGAAAAATGAAATTAAGAATGTACAGCCCGGATTAAGTGATAACATTTAAAAGGGGACTTTTTGGTACTTTTTCGTTCTTCGACTGGTACTTTTTGAATTTTTTATAATATTGAACCTAGAAACATGAAATTAGGAATGTACAGCCCGGATTAAGTGATAACATATAAAAGGTGACTTTTTGGAACTTTTTCGTTATTCAACTGGTTCTATTTGAATTTTCTATTATAATGAACCTAAAAACATAAAACTAAGCAATCAGGGACTTGAGTGAATGAAAATTTAAACTGGAGTATTTCTGGTAATTTTTCGTTCTTTAACTGGTACTTTTTGAATTTTCTAAAATATTGAAGATATAAACATAAAATTAAACACGCAGTATCCTAATTGAACGAAAATTTATCTCGCTTACGTCCATTTTGCAAAAATGGCTCGATATCAATCGAAATTTCTATAGGCCATAATTGACCCTGCCCCCTTCAATAATTGATTTTAACGTTTTTTACGTACTTAATAATACCATAATAAAACAATTTTTGTTGGAACGAAAATATGTAATGCAAATATGTATATGAAATCTTCTTGAGAAAATGACTTAAACGCACATAAATGGATTTCAAATGTCGATGTCGACGAAAAAAACATTTTTAGGAACCGAAAAATAAAGTTATGAGGATCGGTCCGCCAATATAACCCTCTTACAGAAAATCAGTTTATAGCTGATACATCATTCCAAAAGTTATCATTATTATAGAATTATAGTAGAATTAAAAAAAATACTTTAAATTATATATATTATTGATCCAAATCCACTTTTAAGTCCCTAATCCGAAAATCACGGTGACGTTCTTATTAATCTAATGATCTTATTAATCTAATGATCGGACCACTTCCGAAATTTGCTTTTTTACGACATGTGATTTGCCGAATATAACTCTTACTTCTTACTTAATTTAATCATAAATTACCGCTAAAATAGGAATAGTCTGCCTTTAGAGTTGCGAGTTTTCATACATTCTAATAATGTTTTCAAAGTGAAACTTTTGGAATATTTTTCAATCTCTTTGTGATCCCTTTAAATGATGTTGTTCTGGAAGAACTTTAACATTCATGTAAACATTTTGGGTAATAAATTGGGGGACTACCAATGAGGGGAGCGGAACCTCCCATATGAATTAAATACAAAAATTCGTTTATCTGGAAAACTAATATAACTAAATTCTTCAAATTTTGCACGAACAACTTTAATATTCATCTGAACATTTTGGAGAAAAAAGGGCGGACTTTCATCTGGGGGGCTTGGAGCTCCCATATGAATTAAATAGAAAAATTCGTATATCTGAGAAACTATTAGAGCTAGAATCTTCAAATTTTACTGAAGAACATTTAGAGAATAACGGGCGGACTTTCAATGGGGGGCTTGGCACTTCCCATATGAATTAAATACAAAATTTTGTATATCTGGAAACTATTAGATTATTCAAATTTTTCATAGATTAAATTAAACGTGGAATCTCCCATATGTAACAAATTGTATATCTGGAAAACCATTGTAGTTAGAATCATCAAAATTGTTAAGTAGGTTTCTTATTTATATTGCAAGATGTTTTATATGGAAGATAGGGTTAAATATCGGCAGATCCTAGTAAAACATGGAGAAAGGATTTGTTTTTAATTTTTAAGAATTGTTTATTCATCCCTGCATAATTTCTCATACAACTTTTGAGTTTGCTCTGTTTTGTTGTTATAAACATCTCTCGGATTCCGTTTTTATTTAAAATCGTTGAAAAATTAAAAACTAAACGTAGTTGAAAACTTAGCCGGCTTACAGTCGATTTTAAGCCGCCGCCGACATATTTAGTGTCAGTCGCCGCCGCCGTTAATATTTGTCGGCGCAGGGCTCTGCCACCTTCTTAAAACAGTTTAGTATTTTGTTTTAATTATTTACTCTACACTGGTGTGCGGTGTATTTTTTTCTTCACGGAGATAACTTCATTTGCTAATAGACCCGTGAAAATTTCAAGATATTTTGGTTTATTTCGAATAAGGGTGTGTGTGAATGGATTAAAGTTATTTTTTTTAAGAAATACATTTAAAATTGTATGTTATATCTTAGTCGTAAAACAAGATTTTCGATAAAAAAGTTTGGTGCGTTCCATGAATTCTGAAACGAATTACCAACAATATTTGGAAATGCATTGTTTTAGATGCATTTGCTAGATACGAAGTACAAAAACAGATATATAAATTAAAGTATTAAAATGAAGTTTGCTATAAGTTTGGGATTGGTTATTTTGTGGTTGGCGTATCTAATTGCTTCTGGTGTATATTTATTTTCTCGAGGTTTTCTGTTGTCTCGCGTTTCGAAGACGGATGTGAGCTGTTGCCGGCACTTGTCATTAGACCAGAATGACGTAAGTACTGCAAAGTTTATTTAAATTCGGTTTTACATGATATACTTTTTTTCATTAATGTTAATAGGAATATTATCTAACTGAAGAGGTTGTTCAAGAAATATTCAAAGATGTAAACGCATCTGCAAATTTGTGTCTACCTCAAAAATCTAAAGTAATAATATTACTTATTGATGCATTAAAATATGAGTTTGGTGTTTACAAGGATAATGTTAAGCAGCCCTTGCCATACGAAAATAAACTAACAGTGCTGCATGAACTTCTGGAGCATATGCCGGATCAGACAAGAGTTATGCGCTTCAAAGCTGATCCACCAACTACTACACTACAAAGACTTAAGGGTTTAACCACTGGAAGTTTACCCACATTTGTTGATATGGGATCAAACTTTGCTTCTCCAGAAATAAATGAGGACAATATTATTGATCAAATGGTCAGAAATCATTTACCAATAGTATTTTTAGGAGATAGCACGTGGACGGATCTATATCCTAGGCGCTTTAAAAGATCGTATGCGTACCCTAGTTTTGATATATTCGATCTGGATACAGTTGATCGTAAAATACAAAAGCATTTGCCCAAAGAAATGCAAAAGAACGACTGGCAAGTATTAATTGCTCATTTTTTGGGAGTCGACCATTGCGGACACAAATATGGACCACTTCATGAGGAGATGTCGCGTAAACTTAGTGAAATGAATGATGTCATTAGGTATATTTTTCAGTTCATTTTAAAGAGAAACAATTTTAAAGGTTTTATTCATTTCGGTAATGGGCTTCAGAAACATTGTCGCTGAAATGGATGATAAAACAACATTATTTGTAATGGGTGATCATGGAATGACAGCTTCTGGTGACCACGGTGGCGACACAGAAGATGAAACCAATGCTCTTCTATTTGCTTATACCAAACAAGGAAATTTTTTCAAAAATGATTTTAATTCTGACAACACAACACTGCAGCAGGTATGTAAATAAACATAAATAAGTACAATACATAGACTTACACTAGATAAGATACTTACGTATTATGTATACACAGATATTATTATCAATCTCTGTTGTTTAACTTGATAAGATTTAATGTACGCAATTATATAGTATTCAAAATTATGTAGGGATGCCAATCCCGAAAATCACGGAATTTGTTATTTTCTATTTTGAGCCATAATTTCATTAGTTTAAAAATTACGATCTTATTTTTAACACATTGAAATTTTGGTCGTAGACCCAAAAAGTATACACATTCTGTTTCTGTAAGTTGAAAACACGAGCTAGAAGACTTATTCTATTTGGGCTGTAAATTTGGACCAAAATTGACACAAGAAAACCTAAGAGGACCTCCTCTGTAAATCACATTGATGCTCATATTAATATTAATACATTACAATATTTTGATGGTGGGTATTTAATTTCGACACAGTCGAATACAAACTTTATTTTTCAATACTAGAAGATTTTACATTTCAAACTTTCTAATACCTATATAGGAAAATTACCTTGTTCTGAATGTACATAAAATTTAAAAAAAAAATTCTTCAAATATGCTATATTCCAAAACTAATATGTATTTTGTGCAAAACTCCAAATATTTTTCAAAGAAAAGGTTCTAAATTGATGTTCGAATAATTGAATTGGGCTCTGTTATAATTATTATTTCAAATGGAACAGTATATGATTTTAAAAAGTGCTTGCGTCTAATTTCGGAACTTGATATTTATTTTTATTTCAAAGTATGTATTTAAAAATTTACAGAAATTATGAAATTCTAAAAGTTTTTGTTTAAAAATTATAATTAATTGGATTGTTTTAATTTAAATATATTTTCTGTCTGCTGAATTTCCACCAAATTAAACAATTTTCTTTACAAACATGAAGATTTAAAGATTTTCATATATAAAATCCGAAATATCCCGGAATACCGGGATTGCAATTTTCAAAATCCCTAATACCGGGATTTGTAAAAGACAGTCCCGTTTGGCATCCCTAAAATTATGATATTACATAGTTTAGATAAAATTAGATTGGATCATGGTAATGCCCATGACACTTCTCAAGCAGAGACAATATGTATTCAGAAACAAAAAAATGAAATTGGTTTTTATAATGATAATTTGTAACTATTACACGTTGAGGTAAAAAATGACGCTTAATTTAGAGTCACGTATATTTTTTAATAATTTAATCTTATTTATTTGTATTTTGAAAACACTGATATTTTTACTCTAATGTGAGTTTATTTTAAACATGTTTGTAGGAGTACAAGTCGCAATTTTTAATAGATATATTTTAACAAGACCGGCAAAATTCAAAAAACTCCATTTTGATAATTGAATGTACATAATTAAAAGTACAAATATTGTTCACTAAACAAATCTGAAATTACAAAAATAATTTTAAAATGGACAAACATTTAATAAAAAATATTTCGTAAAATGAATTGACAATAATTTTGGTACTGTTGTATTCCCTAACCTATTGTCCGTAAATCCTTATGAAATATCCTAAAAAAAAATTTTTTCTCACATTTCTCATTCATAAGAAATTTTTGAGAAAAAAAAATCCTACATTCCATACACTTGACATCATTGATTACGATTCCTTTGCAATAAAGAGCAAAAGTAATTATTAAATGGTAAAATTTTAATAAAAACCTAAAAACATCGATATTTTCCCTTGAAAATGCATCTCAAAACTTCAGAGCCGTTTATAAATAGTTAATTATTTTGATGGCTTTTGGTAAAAATCCTTTAAGAAGTGAAAAATCTCAGTTTTCAAAATTACACAAATTCTTTTCTATCTATCTATCTATCTATCTATCTATCTATCTATCTATCTATCTATCTATCTATCTATCTATATAAATAAAAGAGTAATGATAAACGAATTAATAAAATTCCAAATATGTATTCAAGGGGCCGTGAATAGTGTTCCTGTTAAGTTTTAAAACTATCCGTTAGACGTCTCAGTATTAAATTTGGTCAATTACATTTTTGTTTATTAGTTCATTAAAGCAAATTTGTATAAATTTATATAAAAGTAAGCATTTATTTTAAAAATTACAGTTCGAGATAGAATATGTAAAATGCACAAAATTATCATACCTTTTTTATCATAAAATGTTTCCATAGAATAATTCTGTTATGTATTTATTTTTATAGATTGATTTCGTGCCAACACTTGCCACCATTCTCGGAATACCAATACCGTACTCCAATTTAGGTTTAATTAATTTTAATCTTATTCCTGATATTCCTATTCCTCACTTGAGTAAAATGCAAACTCTAATTTTACACGCCTGGCAAAATGCGCAACAGATTTATAAGTACTTTTTCAATTATGCTTTAGAAAACAAACGAACATTTAATTTGGATAAAATGGAAAGCTTGGAAACTGAATATATATTGTTAACGCACAGAGTTAAAACAATATACAATGAAATTGCTTTTAAATCATTCGTTGGAGATTTAAATATAAATCTGAGACTAATACTGAATACTTGCCGTGAGATATGGGTTAAGTTTGATGCAACACAAATGTCACACGGGCTCTTTGCTACATTTTTGCCAATATTTTTCTCTTTCACACTGACCTATAATACACGATCAATGGATTTTTGTAAAATTTTCCAATTGAAAGAGGTGGGCTATACTTATCTTCTGAATTTAGCAGCAGGAGTATTTGGCTATCGTTACTATAAGAACTTTGCATTCAAAACGGAAGAGCATTCTATTATATTTTTCACCAGCGTTATAAGTACATTGATACTGGTATTCCATACAGTACAGAGCTGGCCAATAATTACAGAAAATTTGTCAAAAGCAAAGCGATTTGGTAACTTCCCCTCACGTTTGATCTTAATCATATTGTTTTGCATATTTTTCTCGAACAGTTTCATCATTCAAGAAGGCAAAATACTGTCTTATCTACTAGTAGCTGTCATCTTTCTAATGGTTTACGAACTTATACAAAAGAGCGTCCGTGTGGACTTTAAGAATAAATTTAAATTCCAACAATTTTTAAAGTCCACTGCATTTAAGTTGTTTGTGGCCAGTTTCCTAGCTATTGCGTTAATCCGTTTTGCAACATCTCTGTTTCGTTGTCGCGAAGAACAAGGCAATTGTGCAGATTTCACTAACAATGGCAATTTAGGGGGATTCTCACTTAAGAAACCCTCCGGTGCAAAAACATATATACTGTCAGTGGTTATAATTGTGTTATATACAACGCTTAGTCGGATCTACCTTCGTTCTTGCGGAAGTTTGACTGGAAATTGTATCAATGTCTTGTTGGCCCGTTATGGACCCACAATAGCGAGTATTTGTGCTGGTGGACACATTCTCTTATCGAACAGTGCTATTAAGAACATACAGAGAACACATATTGATGCAATGGCGGTAGTTATTTACACACTATTGATTGTCCAGATTATCGTTGTTACCGTATCACCCTTAATGGTGTATTTGTTACCACCCAAAAATTCCTCAAGGATTACAGTGAATAGTACAGAGAGTGTGGTACCCGAAATTTTCAAGAAAATGAAACGAATGTACGAAGGGGATAATCCAGAAGGAGGCAGTGAAATTCCCGTAGTCTATGGATTAACTACTGTATATTCATCAGTTATAATATCATTTGGAACATTTCTAGCTATGGTTTTAATTGTTCTTTTGGAGCCACGCTCTTCAATGGGTATCGTTGCATGCATAGCTGTGGGAGCTATAATACTCTTACTTCATGCTATTTTGCGTTTTAGAACCGCAACAAATTTTGGTGAGTTGTTTAGTTTTACTATAATAAATGTAATAAAGTCATAATTTTTTTATATTTATTAGAAACCTGTGTACATCCTAGATTCACTGCTGTAGTTGCATGGTTTTTATTGGCTCATTTTTGCTTCTTCGCTACTTCCCATCAAACAACACTGTCGCAAATTGATTGGCGCGCAGCATTTGTAGGTCGAACTACCAACATTGGACAATCTAACATTATTTCCGCTGTGTTAGTGATATTCAATACATTTTGTGGTCATGTTTTGTTCTTCTGCATGTACGGCTTATTATCTACTGAAACCTTTTCGATTTTTGCTCTTTTTCCAAATCTTATAAAAACAAATTTTAACCGCGAACAACGTAAAATTGAGATTTCTGGAATAGGCCGACCATTCAATTCATCTGCATCTATGAATGAACGATCGCTAAGTGACATCTCAAACGAATGTGTTGGCTTTGACATGACTCGCGGTGAATTGACATTATACGAGCAGGAGTATACATTTATTGGTACGGCTTTTAAATTGGCTATTCAATTTTATATTTTGCAAGGAATAAAGGTAAGTCTAATTTCTTTAACGTTTACTTTAAACTTACATTGCTTTTCTTTTTAGGTGTTATGTTCCATGGTGGCGTGTACAATGCATTGTCGCCATTTAATGGTTTGGAAAATATTTGCTCCGCGTTTTATTTACGAAGGCATTGCTACTTTTGTTAGCATGCCAGCCATTTTTATAGGATTTTTACTTATTGTTCGCATTCATAAGGGAGTCGAAACTTTAATTGGTAAAATCAGTAAAATGAAATAAATTGCAATTTTATAATATTAACTTAGGCAAATTAATATTCTTTGTTTAGAACTAGTCCATTCAATTCTATTAATTTATAAAGATTTTCTACATGTTAATCACATATTTCGTTTAAGTTTATTAATGTTTATATGATTATTTTTTATGTAATAAGGATTTTATTAAATTTTTTTTTAATAAAAAATCTCAACATACCCAATTGAACTCACATTTTATGATGGAACATAGGGATAGGTAATACATAAAATTCCGATCTTAAATGATTCTCTTTTTTCTTTAGTATAGTTTAATAGAATTGTATGTTATAACGTATACAACCCTTGGAGAAGGGTTCATTATGTTTTCCATAAAGAAATAAGAATATAACGAGAGAAAGTTGAAAGAGAAGATGGTCATGTTCCCAGTTCATTTATTATTTTCTTAATATTAAGTTCTTTAAATAAATAATGACCATCTTTATTAACTTTAGTAACTTTTGTTTTGAGATTTATTCTAAAATATTTCGTAGCTATAAGTTTAATCTTCACAAATAAGAAACTTGTTTGTGTCGAATTTCATAGCCACACTTTTATTTTTAATTATGATTTATAGTCATTTTCTGAAGACGACCCTCATATGGAGGGTGGGTCAATCTTAGACCGATCCTCATGCATTTTGGTTTTTGTAAAACTTATTTATTTATGATTTTAAAGCTATACTAGTATTTATAATCCAGTTAGGAGCGTTAAAGTAATTTTCAGAATGGAATTTCATATGGGGGATGTAAACCGATACTCATCAAACTTAGATTTTTATTCCTATAAAACATCTTTACGACGAATGTCGCCATTATACTTTTATTATTAAGCCATTTATGTTCCTTAAAGTCACTTTCTAAAGGGGACCTTATATGAGGAATAGGGTTAACTATGGTCTAATTACATTACAATGTAATATAATTTCTGGGTACATAAAACTAACTTGTGTAAAATTTTATAACGATTGTTGCCTAATTAACTTATTTTTTTTATTTTATTTAATTTATGACTCTTTAAAACTTAATCCGGGGTTCACTTGTATGGGAGGTGGTTAAAATCGTGCACCGAAATTTTCAATACCAAACAAACCTTAGTTAAGCTCTCTAGCTCTGCAGTCTGATCCATATCTTGCATTCAACAGACAGGCTAACATGGCTAGGGCTGAGAACTTGTGTGTCTATTATGGATAGCAACCAAACTTTGGTTGTGTTGGCAACAGTCAAAGCTGGACCTAAAATACTACAAGACCGGCATAAATCAAAAAACTTAGTTTTGAGTAAAACAGCATTGAATGTTTTATAACATTTTTCTATTTGTATATAACTTTCAAACAGATTGCCGGATTGTATAAATAAAACATGATATATAAAATAAGTGGTAATTAATGTGTTTCTCATCTTAAACAAACTTATTCACCCCTATTCTGCATTTCAATTCGAATGGAAATTTTATCGAAGCTCCGTCACTAAAATAACAACAACGAATACACACAATCGTAAAGCATTGAAATAAAATGTAATTGCTTCTTCTTTTTCTTACGATTGCGTTTTCTCTTGGAATACCAATTTTCGATCGTAGCATATCTGAATACGGAAACGTAATCGAAATGCAGAATAGGTGTGATTACTTATTAAATAAAAGTTAAAACACCGAAAATAATTTGAAAATAGACAAAACTATATGAAAGACTTGAATATGACTCATTTTTTATAGTACTCAGTTCAAAAAACACGAATTTTAGATAAGTAAACTAGTGATATATACTTTCGTAGGACTACTACCAATATTTCGATGTGTTACAAACAGAATGGCAAAATCAATATACCTCCATCATTTTTGATAGTATAAAAATTGTCAATGCATTAGTCTCTTTATTCCATTTCTTCAAAGTAGCATCGTTGTCACTGTAGCTTCTGATTGATACCATTGGTAATCTGAGTAATTAATTTGCGCAACAGCCTTTTTCAAAATTTCGCAAAAAATAAAGTATCTTTATATCACTATAGTCAATGGGTTTGTGACATTGTTCATATTACATATACATACATACATACATACATGCAGTGACTTCCACAACTGTTCACAAAAACACAAAATTATAATACTTTTAGTATAAAAAATTTTTTCACCAAGATTTCATTTTTTATATTTTAAATATATTACGTCCTGAAAAATTAACTAAGCCATACATTATGAAATTAAATTTGATTTTCGTAGAAAAGAAGTGAAAAATGTAATCATGTTTTTGTGAACACTATTGTAAACCTACTGATATATAGACATTTTCTATTTTCCGCATGGATATATCGGCATTTATTGGAACCAACTTTTTCTGTAATGATGGGTTTAAGACTCTTTTGCCTGTTTTTAATAAAATTTGATGAGAAATATGTGTTAATTTTAGCTCATTATTAATTTATCGTCACCTAATGCTTTTTAAGGTTATGGGGCGTTGGAAATCTAATTATTTTGGTATATTTGTGCTTATTTGCAACATTGTTGGTTCTATTCCGCCTTGTTTATTGTTGAGGACAATTCAAACAGTTAATATAGTGGTCCTCAATATATTAGATGGTTATATAAATCTTTTGTTTAGGTCATCGTCATACATTATGATGGTTTAGTGTGGTTTACACTAACGGATTTACGGAATTGGCAGGTAAGAACCCCTTGAAGTGTCTACATATGGCATTGTTTTCAATATTCCTTCTATTTTTTTAAGATTCCTAACTCTTCTCCATGAAACCAAACACTCATACATCCATGCGGAAAATAGAAAATGTCCATATATCAGTAGGGTTACAATAGTGTTCACAAAAACATGATTACATTTTTCACTCCTTTTCTACGAAAACCAAATTTAATTTCATATTTTATGGCTTAGTTAATTTTTCAGTACGTAATATATTTAAAATATAAAGAATGAAATTTTTATCTTGCTGGAAAAATTTTTTATACTAAAAATATTATAATTTTGTGTTTTTGTGAACAGTTGTGGAAGTCACTGTATATAGTAAACTATTTCACAGACCCCTCTACTCCATTTTTATAATCGGAATAAAAATATAATGAAATGAAAAAATATGATCGATTGATTCCTTTGGCGTGTGTATATGAAAAAATAACCAGTTTTTATTTCTATTAAATTATTTTATTTAAAACAAAAATTTATTTTGGTATTTATTAATGTGTAGTAGGTAATATTAATTTCTATTAAAGAAACTCAAACAATGTAAGCATATAAGATTTTTTAATCATTATTCTTAGGCACAGCAATGATTTTTTATATCGAAATGATTCTAATAATGAATTCTTAAAAGCTTAAAAGCAATGTAAATATTCAGAATTTAATTGCTTTTAAATTAATAAATAGAACATTCGTTATCATATTATTATTTGATTCTTGTCATTTTGAATAAGAACACAACTGTATTAAGCAAATTACTGGTCTATTTCAGTACAAGAAAGATTTTGCAATTTCTGCATCCACGAAATGCTCAACTAAAAATCTGACTTGTTCTGGAACAAAGATGATTTATATTTATTTCATGAATTTAAACTGGGTAAACTTATTATGACAGTATTTGTAATATCACTTAATTTGCATAGAAAATTAATGCAATATGTATGTACCTAAATCTGATGAATCATTTTTCCTGCAGTAATAAAGTTGAACCATTTCTGTAGTTATTTTTAAAAAGAAATATCATAAAATTAGCAAAATAAATTCATCTCATTTATATTAACAAATATTTAAAACGCGCAAAAACGCTCTAACTATTAAGAGTGTATACAACTCTTTTTGTATAATTTAGAAAGAAGAAATATAAAAATATGTATGTATGTTCACATGTGTGTGTTATTTAATATGTAGTGTTTTGTAAACCATACAAAATCCATTTAAAGAAGATTTTTAAAACTATTCGTTTTAACTTTCTATGCTAACAAATCCATCAATTTAATTTGTATGTAAATTATTAAAAAAATAGTAATAGTAATTTATTATAAAACAGATGGCAAACGACCCATAAATAACTTCAAACAAAATTAAAAATACTAATCGATTCACGACGGTGAAAAATCTACTCAATGTGAGAACGCATTCTTTTAGATATAGCACTAATTAATGAGGATGGCGATGGTTCATCCGACTCATCCGACATATGTTTTCGCATTCGTTGTTGAAAAGGTGGCAAACGATTTAATAAACGGTCTGGTATGCCTGCACGAAGTAAAGTACTGCGATCGAAATAATGTAGATTAGAGTTGTAATAAGTAATGGCATCCCAACAAATTTCACTAAGCTTTGGTATAGTCATCCACATTTTAAAGAGATCATTACGACGACACATGTCTTTCTCGCTGTATTCTATTCCGCCAAAAATGTACATACAACCATTCCCAGCATGTGCTGCGGAATGGAAATAAAGTGGACGTGGAAGGGAGGCGCTATGTATTTTATACCATTGTTTAGTACGAAGGTTTAGTTTCCATATGTCATTAAAGTATGTAGTGAAATCTCCCTAAGTAGAATATATCCATTAATTAATATTTGTATTATCTGTCGATATTATGTATACACATACCTGTAAGCCGCCAGTAATGAAAGCCTCTATATCTCCATTTGATAATGTATGTTGTACGCAGGAGAGACACTTCCGAGCCTTTGGATAGCCCGGATCGTCCGATGTTGAAGCACTCCGATCTGGCAATGTTTCAAAATAATCCCAACGATTGGTTTCCAAATTAAAAGCAGGTATACGTTGCAAATCATAAACAGTGTGCGCAGTCCCACCACCTAACACGTAAATATGACAACCATCGTAAACAACTTCATGTCTATACCGACCCTCAGGATCATCCCGCATTTCGGGTCGGCATATATAAACATTTTCCCAGACTTTAGTTATTAAGTTAAGACGATAGACATCACACGAATAGTCGAAACCTGTTGTTCCACCAATTGTATAGAGAAAATCCTTATGTATCACTATTCCTGGGCCATACTGGGCAGCAGGTAAATCACCAGTTACTTTTAGAAGCATAACCTGTGGATTTTCTCCAGTTGTATAAACATAGCAGTCATTTGAGCATGTTTCTCCGAATGGGTATCCAGTACCCCCATGTGACTATAAATAAACGCAATATGAAAAAGGTTATGTTAATGATAAACGAATGTGTATTTCGGTTTATATTAAACTTTCAAAAAACACTAATTTTTTATAACTCTAACTAAGATTTTTAGTTTAAATTTTATTTTAAACTTTGAAATAAAAACGGCTTTAAAATTGTCGAGTCACTTCATTTTTCTTCTTTTTTTTTTTCCAAAATTTTTAAAACAAATTTTTTTTAAAATTTTATCTACAACATATTTTTATTACATTTATTCATATACTATATATCGTAATTACTTTCGCAAAAGACGAAATTTAATGCATCTTCTGGAAGAATTTTTAATTTTTTGGAGAAATGTAAGACCAATAATGTATCAATCAATAGCACGTCCAGTCATTATTTTAATAATTTCTACTATTTCACTTATTACTTAAATCAATTAATTTCGCATTCAATAATTCGATTTTAAATAAAATATAAATATTTTCATAGCACCGAGTGTTAGAAAAGTGAGCCTTTTTGACAGAAGCAAAAAGAGGCAAATATTTTAATTTGCTGTTATTGAGAAGATTTCAGAGTGTATTTGGCATATGGTCGCTTAGAGGCCATCAGTATAGAGATGAGCGATACAGTGATTTCTAAAGAACTTCGTTCTTAGTGAACGTGATTTGTAAATCACTGTTCTTTAAAACAGTGACTGTGATCACGGTTTTCACTTATAAAGCAAAACAATATAATTATTTTTTTCGATTTTCGTATTTTATTGGGTCTTATATTAAGTATAAAGCACTGCTCAAAAATATAGCGCACTTTCTATTATTCTATTATTTTCTATTTTTATACCATTAAAAAAAACTTAAGATAAAAAATTTTGTTTGCGGTAAATTAAAGCATATAGACCAGTTTATTAAAACAATATTGAAATTTATTTTAAAATAGCAAAATAACTGCGCTAGAAAATATTTTACGAAACAAGACCTTAAATATTGATTCAAAATTATAGCGCATTTATAATCAAATTGGCAATAATATATTCTTATATGAAATGTTTTTCAATATTGGATCTCGGGATGATAAAATACTACTGCCCCTATATTTTAAGACCCATTTGGTACCAGTTGGTATTGAGCAGCCAAAGTGTAGCGAACACTTTGGGTTTTTTTACCAAAATAATTTTTTAGCATTTTACAATCAATTTATGCAGCTATTTTCAATTCTGAAGACATGAATCGGAAATCAATCAATCATAATATAATTTATAAACATTTGATAACAATTTAGTCAATGTTATTTGAGAATATTTCCTTGATAGATCCAAAATTTCTAAATTTCGCGCGATAGCACTGAGCGTTTTTAATATTTGAACTAGGTCTATGTTTAAATCGGCACAAAAATATAATAATATTTTCTACAAAAGGTTAAAATTTAGTGATCCTAGTATTTTCATATCCTTAAAAAAAGATAATTGGCCAAGAGAAAGGATGCTAAGACATGCACCTGTGCTAACTGGAACACCACCAAGAAAAATGTTTTTAAAATTCTTTTAAATGGTAATTGTATTTTCAGTAAATGGAAATTTTATTTGCAGAAAATGGAAAATAGAGGTCAATTCGAACGAAAATTATTATTTTTATTTAATTAGTATACAAATGTTTAATCAAATCGATGTAATACGATATTAGATATTAACGGATTAGCTCTTAAATTTTTTATATTACATGTGAGGTTTAGCTTGTGTAGAATTAAGCATATTCAGATCACAGTAACGATGTGTTATTATTCCATAGATTAGGATTAAACATTAGAAGCAAGTTTTTTAAGGCTTTATAGTGAAATTTGATAAAATTATTACAATTTAGATCATCACAATCATAAATCTGCCAAAAAGTGACCCATGTTAGAGGGTCAGATTGTTGTTTACCTGGGAAAAAATTTTAAAATGTCATTTGAAGGTTATCTCCAATGTCACTAGATATAATCCTCATTAAAAAAATTGGACTATTGAGCAATTAGGGGCATATTTTGACATAAAGAAATTTACTAGTACTACAAGACACATATCAGCAAAAATAACCAAAAACAACTGCTTAAAATTTGCCACTTTAAATTAAATAGCATTTAGAAGCATAGACAACTGTCATTTCATAACAATAAGTTGCAATTTTTCAAAATTAATTAACATTTTTCAATATTGTTTCAACTTATTTCAAAGAGTGCGCTATAATTATGAAACAGTTTTTTATGGTTAGTTTTGTATAAAAAGCCCTATTACCGATATTTTGCCGTCTTACGCCGAATTTTGATACTTATTACATAAACTGGACTTCGTTCTTGAATTTGCCATCAATCATTTTTTTCTAACTTTATCAATTGTAATAATATAAAAAGAATAAAAACCTAATACAAGGTGCGCTATATTTTTGAGCAGTACTTTATACATAAATATTCCTGAACAAAATAATATTGTTGTCATCAGAGCGAGAGGAGTTTACTATATGAAAAAATGTCGAATTGCATGTATACTATCTTGTAATACGTATTTGGTTCAACAAAAATTAAATGAATTTTAGAAGGTAAAAATTCAAAAGAACGACATTGCAAGTAACTGTTATTTGATCATTTCAGTCACAGCAGCTACCAGTGAATTATCAATCACAGTGATTAAATCACAGTCGTGAAAATATCGCTCATCTCTACATCAGTAGCCAAATTGTACTTTTTCACTTTTAAAAATTGCAAAAAAACATAAACATCTATGAAAAATAGCATTTTAAAAAAGTCGTTAATAATTAAATCTTTGGCTGTAAAGATTATTTTGGTATAGAAAAAGAAAATTTTCATATATTTTATATAAAAATGTAGTAGATTCGTACAAAAAAAGTTATGAAATTAAATTAAAAAAAAATCTGGAAAAATATACATAAAAACATAAACTTTGCTATATCATCTAAAGGCCTATAGAATAATAATGGGAAAACTAAAATCATTTCTAAATATTTACTTTATGCCAAATTTACTTATTACAAATTTACTTACCCAATGTGCATTGTACATGACTATAACAATTTTATAAATTAGTTATTTTTTATAACTGGAATGAAATGATTGAAGTTCCTTAATTCAATGGGAAGTGAATTCCAAAATGATCTCTCAAATGAGGAATTTGATATTCGACAGAAATATATGAAATCATGTATGATGTTTAATTCTTACCAATAATATATTTGGTATCATATGAAAGGTCTTCAAAAGGCGCTTTCAATGATATATCAAACATATATGTACCTGCGATTACAAAAGTATACACATTTTTTATTAAAAATAACACTGTGATACAAAAGTGAAGAAAAATAAAATGCAGGCGTCCTCATATACCAACACCATTTTGTTATAGTCTATAGAGTACGAATATATATTTAATTTTCTCCAATAATTTCGTTAACTTACTTTTTAAAAACATAAGTTTAGTAGTTTTTAACCGATTTTCAAATCCGATATTTTCTTTTAATTATACAAGTAAGTGTTGCCTCTCAATCCAAAAAAAAATTAAATCCAAAATTTGTGGTCAAATGTCTGAGTTACGGTCGTTTAAGTAAAATAACTCACTTTTTTAGAAATTTTTCATTTTCATCGTGCTCTACTTTGGCCATGAGGTAGTAAGTTCATCTTACCTTCATAAAGAATCACATGAAGAAAAGTTTCTAAAACTTGTCATTTCATAAAAATCTATGAAAAACTGCTAATTTTTCTAATAGCATGTTCATCGAATTTTTATTTTTCCCATACAAATTAATTTATGTATAAAAATATTTATAAATATTTTTTAAACTTGTTACAAACAAAACCAGAAACATGAACGTCATTTGTTAGTATATAGTGGATGATTTATTGTTTTCATATAATATGGGATCTATTCGAGGCAAATTAATTAATATTATGTTGTATTTGCTGCTCTTAGCAGTACAGCCGAGCAAAATATTTGGTAATTACTTTTTTCCATATAGTTCAACTTAAAAAAGTTATTAGGTGCAGTGAAATGCAGTTTAGATATGTACTTGTGCTTTTAGTATATACTGTATAGTAAAACTTGTCAGTATATCATAAAAATAGTATTATGTCATTTAATATCTTCCCATTTGGATTATATTAAAGAAATATTTTTGTAAAGAAAATGCAAACAAAATATGTTAAAAGAGTAACTAAAAGATGAATTATTAGTTTTATATCGTGACCCTATATTCAAAAAGTGCGAACTCAATTTTGGGCAAAGTGAGTTTTTGATGCAAAAGGATTCCTCAATGCATGATCCACGTCTGGTATAAATTTGAAACCAAAAAAGTAATTTTTGAACTTTTAACAACAATTTTTGTTAATATGCTATCTCAAAGTTAAATTTTTATTGAAGAAAATAAGTGCTTCCATACAAATTTTACAACATTTTTTAAAGCTTCAAAATTTATTTAAAATTTATTTTGTATATTAACAAGATGAACATGCTGAACACAAAAAAGATTAATAAATTGAATGTATAGTTTTTAAGATATGATCATTTATATATTTGTATATAAAGCCAGTTTTAGACTTTAAATAATGTTTTTCCGAAAAATGTAAAGTTATTTCAGAAATCGTTTATAACACTAAGATCTATAATATTCTATGGTTCCAATTTAGAATTTTGATTATAAAAAAGTCTTTAAATGTGCAAATTATGGATTATTATTCAAAAAATATTGGTACTTTTTATATTCAAAAACTTTTCATAATTTAAAATATTTGTACTGAGAATAAGGAATAGTAAACAAGCAGATATGCCATGAGTTTTTCTACTTAAATGGTGTAAATGCATCTTATTGGACTTACTGGTTTGACTTATATCCCTTTAAAAAAAAACATTTCATAAAATTATAAAATAACGCATATTATTACAAGATATTTTTGTTCTATTCTTTGAACAAAACATGCTAACTTAGAACAAATATTTGTTTTTTTGTGCTATCTTAAATAAGTCGCTAAA